GAGTTATCCAGCCCAGTGTCAACAGCATCAAGGTTGGGTGATGCATCATGCAAAGTGGACTACAAATGTGACATTTCTCCTTTTTCCTTCCACAGGGCCCTCGTTAGCAGCAGAATTATCGTCCCAAAGTGAGGCCAGTGGTAGAGTAGGGGGAAGGATTAGGGAGAGGGTGGGCTCTCAGACAAGACCACTGCTAGCCTGAAAAGTTCAAGGACAAAGGTTAAGTGTCCCTTCCAAATGAACTTTTCTGTCATGGAATGAATTGGATATTTTGGAAACTAGCAAGGAAAACTTAATATGGGACAAAAGTCTGGAAATGCACTCATAAAAATTTTAATGGTAATTATGTCTCAGCGATAGCATTTTTAGAGATTTAGTTTCTTAATGCTTACTCGGATACTTTAAATTTTTCTATAAAGGTTCATGTAATTGCACATAATTCTAAAGCATTAGAAAGCATGCCACTTTCACTGATGCCATTTCTTAAAGCTCCAATTCCTTAATTGAATAGACTTTCACAGGACAATATATCAAGCTGCCCCAATGATAAAGTCCATAGCACTTCTGCACAGCAAAGGAAACAACAAAAAGAATGAACAGACAACCTAACAGAATGGGAATAAGAGAAGATTAATATCTGGAATATATAAGGAATTCAAAGAAAAGACACCCCCAAGTAGAAGACCCAATCAAAATATGAGCAACCAAAATGAGCACACTTCACAGTCAAAGTACATATGACTAGCACTATAAATACATGAAGAAATGCTCAACACTGCTGGTCATTTAAAAAAATGTAAATTAAGAAAACACTAAGATTCCATCTTACTCCAGAAAGAATGGCTAACATCAAGAAATCAAATAATAACTAATACTTCAAAGACTGTGGGATTAGGGGAGGTGGAGGGAACCTTCCTCATTGTTTTTGGCTTGGATATAGATGTCCCTCCAAAGCCTCATATAGTCATAGGTGGGGCTTTTTCAGAGGTGCGTGAATCTACAGTGTGTAAATGACTCATGGTGCAATGCTAGGATTAAAGGAGCTAAGATTAAAGGTGAGTGATCACCAAATCAGTCCACTGATTGGTTTGGCACCATCTTAATACCTGTAGACTGGGACAGAAAAAGTCCTGTCTTGCCTCTTGCTTGCTTTGCTATCTTCTGCACACCATGAACTATTTCTCCTCTGCACTGCCTGTTTGTCATGCCACCCTACCTTGGAGTCAGCCAATTATGAACTGAAACCCCTACAAACTGTGAATAAACTATTTGCCTTTAACTTTGGATGCTGGGTACTTTGTGTCAGCAACAAGAGAAAAGTAACTAAGAATATAAACTAGTACAACAATATGGAAATCAGTATGGAGATTACTCAAAAACCTAAAAGTAGAAATTCCATTTCACCTAGATATTCCCCTTTCAGGCATCCTTCCAAAAGATATTACATCATATATAGTGATACATGTTTATAGTAGCATAGTTCACAACAGCTAAAACTTAGAAGCAGCCTATATATCCATCAAAAGACGAATGGATAAAGAAAATGTGGTTTTTATACACAATGGAGTACTATGCTGCTATAAAGAAAGATAAACGAGTTATTTGTAGGAAAATTGATGCACTTTAAAACCATAATGTTCATTGAAATAAGACACAAATTTAAATATTTCATGATATTTCTTATATAAGCAATTCAAAATATAAATAAAAAGCAAAGTGGAAGGCAGATAATGGAAGTAGGGAAATAGATCTTTTTCAAATGGAAAGGGAATCAAGAGATGGAGAGGGCAAGTAATGAGAGGGGATGAAAAAAAGAACTGAGATGTGTTATGTACATCTACCAACTCCACACAAGGAATGTTATCATTATGTAATGCAAACATGTAATAATAAAAAAATAAATGAACAAATAAAGTCCACCAAAAATTGTCCTTATAACTGAGTATGAGGAAAGGCTCTGCTTTAAGTCCATTTAATAATTTGGTGGATGAATGAATGAAGTCATTCACTATGTTTTATTTCTTAATGACAAGAACCATGTCAATTATCAAATTGACTTTCCTAGAGATAAGTGTTAATCTCAACTACAAAAACAATTTAGACCTTCGCTGTCCTATAAGGTAGACACATGTCCCTAGACACACGTGAATACTTAAATGTAAATTAATTAAATATAGGACATTTCCACCACCCTGGAAAGTACTACAAGTTTTACCAGACAGCACTGGCACACTGCTATTTTCTCCCCCATACCCATTTTCTGTGCTCACGTTTTCTGTGCTTTCTCTTGTTACTATTCCATGTGACTTTGTTGTAAACTAACCTGAATTTCTTCGTGGAACAATTTGGCCTAGCATTACTTTGGAATGTCTCTGTCTGTTCATGACAGCTCAGCCTTCTTTATCAACTCTAAGACAGTAATGTATGGAGTGAGATCTTGCTTATAACTCAAAAACTCAAAGAACATTTTCAGGAATGTAGCTCCTCTGAAACAAAGTACAATCTTCAAGGGTCGTGGGAGTTTGTTTGTTCATTTTGTTTCTTATAATTAAAAAAGTATGCACTGTTCATTCCTGACAACCAAGCTGATTTGGTTTTTTTTGGGGGGGCATTTGTTTGTTGGTTTGTTTTAGGCAGCCCTTCTTTATTTTTTGTTTTGAGACAAGTCCTGACTAAGTCATAAAGCTGCCCAGGCTGGGCTCAAACTTCTGACCATCCGCCCTCTGCCTCATAGAACACTGGGATTACAGGCATGTGCCACCATGCCCAGCTCCAAAATGTTATTTAATCAAAACTTAATTTGAGGATGGCATAGTGGCAACATGTGTAATCTCAGCTACATGTAGGGCTGAAGCAGGAGGCTCACCAGTTTGAAGCAACTTTGAGCAACTTTGCAAGATCTCTGTCTCAAACTCATAAGAAGGGCTGGACATGAAGCTCACTGATAGAGTGCCCATGAATTCCATAACCAATACTGTAAAAAAAAAAAAATGTTTGGATGGAAAATTAAGATATTTATCTGCACAAAAATTCGATTTATTTTTCAAATTACAAATAAAAGGCTAAATATCAGCTTGTGACTAAAACTTCAATGTCATTATGGCAAAAACAAATGGCCCAACTTGTTACTACTGACACATATGCTCATGTAACAGGAGACCTGGGTGTGCCAAGCAGAATCAAGAATGAAAATGCTGCCCCAGGCCTGTTTGGGATCCCTTGCTAGCCCTCGGTTCCAGAGCAGCACTACCTCTACGAAGAAGCCCATGCAACTTGAACATGTTATCAGACTTTACCCTTACTCTATAAAAATGTGTAGATTAAAAACTAAGTACAAAGATAAAAAATAATAATCATGGCCCAAAGTGACAAATCTTTGACTCTAATCAAACGTTAACCATATGAGTCGAGGAGTACAAAGAATAATTTTTAAAAATAAAGAACATGTATATGAATGTATGTAACAATAGGAAAATACTCTCAGCTATTCCTAAAAAATTTAAGTTGAGCTAGAGAGCCTTTCATAGTTCTCACCTCTCTCCATACAGAACCTTCCTTATAAAGCATTAACTTCAGTATGTGTTTTTTCTGGAAAGCATGATTTAAGGAACGGATCTACATATTTATTAATATAATTTTGGGGACAAAGCCGAGCAATATATCACTATCCTGAATTTCAATGATTTCAGTAACTTCTTGGAAATAGCACTACAGAAATTACATTAATTATGGGGGGATAAAAAAACCTTTTCGACGTCACATTGCTTGTACGGTGGATAATAAAGAGGATAAGGGCCAACACTTACTGAATTCTTACCCTGCTGAAAACCGTGTTGTGAGCTATTTATGCTAAGTCATTTAGTAATGTGATTGCCCCTACTTCTGCAAATGGGGAAACTGAGGTCATAAGAGGTTAAACTAATGTGCCCAAAATCGCACAGTAGTATATGATGGAAATGTTGTATCCAATAAAGTTAAGTATAAAACACATCAGGACCCCAAGTCGTGCATAAGTACAAAGGTTACATTTAAAAGTAGGGTATAAACTCATTATTGCTATATTTCTGAGCATTTCACGTGTACAGTGACCCCCACAACGACATCTATGGAGCCCACATTTCCAGGATGCAGGTCAGGCCTGGCGCTGGGAATCCGAGTCCCACAGAGTCGGGGTCTCCGCGGGCCTCGGGCCCCGAGTCTCCATGAAAAGCGAAACCACACTTCAAAATGAAATACGGATTTTAGTTTTTAAGATGTCTCGGCCGCGTCTTCCTGCCGGCGGGGACACAGATGCAAGCGAAGTTGGGCCTGGCTGCGTCGCTCCAGCTCCAGCCCGCGCGCACAGGT